CGCGAACTTGAACTCATTTGTCTAAAATGTGCTCATTCTGGATGTTCTGCTTATTTGACGTGTAGCACTACTTCATTGACATTTACAGTAGATCTTCGCTTTTTCAAATAATGTTTTCCTATTGGCGATTTCAACATTCGTTCCTCATAAGATGGTAGCAGGGATTTTGCACATTATGTTAAAATTGCATTCTTCCAAGCGCCTATTCTTCCGTTGTTACAACTAGGTTAGGTGCGACTCGTTCAGCGTAAACTATAATATGTGTTGAAGAGAAACGGGGATCGAAATTCTGCGGAATAATGACAAACTGCGGACTTGGAGTCAAGCTATGAAAGGTCAGAAGCTGTTTGCAATGCCAATCGATGTCACCGATCTTACATGTGAGTTTAAAATGGCTTGTGTTCTTACGTGAATTTTTGATTGCCCTTACATTAATGCGACTTACGCGCTGAGAGATTGGAACCGCACTTCACAGAATGCCTTGCGGTAAATAAATTACCGTTTCACATGGGATGAAGCAGATATGTTAACAATATTTGTCATATTTGTAAGTATTGTTTATGGTAGAAAGAAGCAGTGAGTGTGAAACCTTATGCGATTTCTAAAGCGTAGTCCATAACGCCGGTTACAGGCAACGGGCACAATCAACACATTCAAACGCATTTAACCAATTCGCATTTCCAAATTCGTTCTTTGTTAGACACGAACATGAAATATGCTCTTTCCACTTTTTCACAGTCGCTTTCACATTTATAGATGTTTAACGATCTAAGCAATTTATTATGCGGAAATGAGCTGTTGATTTGCATCTCTTCAAGACAACACAAGTCATGACAACCGCAAAGCTATTTTTGTCAAAATTGAAGGCAAAGCACTCACTCGCGGAGAGTTCAGAGCTGAAATTGTTGGTGCGTTTTAACAAAAAATAATTCGTTTTGAATGCATGACGTTAGATGCTTTTGCCATTTGCAGATCCATCAATGCCCCTAGTTGGCCCACAAATGCACTGAATGCAAAAAAACGATTATTTGGCTACGTGACTTTACGAAGGCATTTTAGAACGCACGTTTTAGTCCATCTTCTGGAGCGAAGACAATTGTGACTAGAATTACATGAGTCTAATTTAAATAGTGTCACAATTAACGCATTAAATTCACTATCGCATTTGCCCACTTAAAACATGTTTAAAACCTTCGTTCCGATATCTCACGATGGCATTTCTTGACGCCTTGATCATAGAGACGAGGGCAAATTGTCTGATTTGCACCTTCTACACATAGTGGTTCTAAGTGATTTACTTTTTTTAAAAAATCCTTCTTCTTCACCTTATCGTACACTAAGGAATTGTATCAAAAGTGTCGACCTTTTAGTAAACAGTCACCAAGGGATCTACATGCGAGTAGGACATGCATGGTCACTGAAAAACACATTAGTCCGTGAAGCATTTGTTTTGGGCCCCGACATGTTATCTTGAACCACACAGGGGCCACTGCCTTGGATCTAGGCCAATTACGCTACACTGAGTGCCCGCGAACAACAAGAAGACCGGACAGCACGAGGCACAACTGTTTACTAGGCAGTTGCATGCAGTCGTGTTTGCTGACTGACAGAGTTGAGTGAACCAGAAGAAATGCAGATGTCTGAATGGTCACTTGAATGAAGCGGGTGGTGGTGGTACATACGAGGGGTGAATGAGCAGGCGGTCCCAGTGAAAAGTGGGACGTGTGTGTGAGGCTGCGACGAGCGGGTTATTAGGCTTCGATCATAGCCATTCACTACTTTTATTAATCTTCTTTGAGTGTGCGCAAATTTTATAATAATTTAGCTACCATTTTGTCGGCAGATTGATTCCTTCTGACACAAAACTTACCAATTGGCTTTTATCGATTGCGATTTTATTAATTTAACACAGTTTGTGTGTGCACCCTTCCATAAACAAAGGCTCTCGGGCGAGAGCAAAGTATCGTCCTTAACGCTGCACACATGCTGTACAATTGTCAGATTATGTAAAACTAGAATTACGACACGTGAACATCAACTCGACTTCTAAGTAACACATGCATCCATGCACACAACGAGCGCACTTCACAAATCTGGACCAATAAGAGTAACTGAAAGCAAATGAATAAGCATTAAGTGTTCCTAGACTATCTATTCTTAGCAAACAAAAAGCCAGAAATCAAAGTGAGCAAAGCTCACAAGTGCTGAAACAATGTAGTGGAAATGTGAGACATAGTTTGTGTTGTGTCAGGTAGTTGATGTATAGTTGTCACTGGGCAGTATTCATCAAAAAATGTCTTAAAAGCCACCAGGGTCAATTGTCGAGAACATGGATAGATGAACATGGCAGCATCTGGACAGTAGCGTCCGTAGTCAACACAGCTTTGCTTCAAGGAATCGTCTTCTCTCGGTGCCATCATCTTCAGCATTGAAGGAACTCGTTAACATGCCAAGCATTCACTTTGGCGTCTCTTCTGCTTACATGTAGTCTGATAGTTATCTAAACGACATACTGCTGTTGAAACTGCACAAATGTTTGGGCTTAGCAGTCAAATATTTAATTACATTGCTTGCAATCTGCGCTCACGTTTGGGAAGTTCCTGGTTATCAGCACTGCCGAATTAGACTTAGGGTTATATTGGTAAAAATGATCTACCCCTTCTTCATATTAACCCTCCACCTTCAAAAATCTCCGAATTTAATGACATTACACCATTTCCACTACTTGCAATGTCTGCAATATGAAAAAACCTTTGACGGAAGCTTTTTAAGAAGAACATTTGTTGTTTTAAAGTTTATGAATTCACTCAATTTTAGATGCAGGGAAAGATGATCAATTCCTCAATATGATGCTCTAACTATACAATTTAAGCCCCATCATAACTCAATATGTATATGTATATGAATGTGTATATGTTAAAATTCAGTATTTCTGCGACTTTGGCCTCTAGTGCAAGTGTGTGATGATCGGCCTTACAAGCTGCACACAGTCTGCACAATGTTCAGTTCGTTTTTTCAAGCACCATTAAACCCAAACAGTAAACAAACAAATATTTGCCGAATGCAAAGCTTGTATTTGTAGAAGTAATGCATACCAAAAGGGAAAGTTAGTTAGCGGTGTGCAAGGGTGTTTCAAGGTTTTCGTTTAGCAGTACCCATTGACAAAATTCTTGAAGGCAAAGAGAATACTATTGGGGTTCGTGTAAACTGTATTCGGTGGTATCAACATCTCGCCATTCACGTAGGGTCTGCTGTTGGTGATGTACAAGTGGCCATTGCTAAGTTCCTGTGCTTCAAATTGCAGGCCAAAGTTGGTAATGCGGATCGGTTTAATGCGTTGGTAAAAGTGGTGTGTACTATTCGCCTGAAATGTAAATAGAAGTCAATATAATTTGAGCGTTCTCTTTCTTACCGCACTGGTTCGTGTTACCATGATAAACGTGTACGTTAGGACCAAAATAGGAGTACACAATGTTATACGAAGTTTTCTATAGAAGAAATGTCGGATGTTATATGAAGTCGAAAAGTACCTACCTCGATGCATTTAGTAAGACTCAGCTTAATGCTGTCAGTGCGCAACTCGCACGAATACAGATGTTCGTTGGGTACAGAAGAGATGATCCTGTTTTTTTCCAATTCACTTTCTTCATTCCAAGAACTCTGAACGTAATGAGTGAAGGAAGGCAAAGCTGATGCGACAAACATTGGTTAATTTCATTTGTAACACGATTTAAAACCCTTGTTAAGTTAGTGCTCGTGTCCCCTTCAGCTGCATCTCCCGTGCCTGGTACAAATAAAAGTAGCAGAAAACGCAATTTAAAATTATGGCTAGAAGTGAAGCATTTGCCGAGCAGTAGTGATAGTTGCACAAACCTGTATTGACGACGACGCTAGCGGAAGAGCTGACCAGTAGGAAGAGAAGACAAGAATGAATCAACATTTTTGAAGCGGTAAATGCGAAATCACGAAGATTTTTCTGGGTGTAGGAGTACTTATTCATTTTCTGCAAATTCTCCTTCACGTTAATTGTCCAATCCGATTCATTCTTCATTTGCTACATGACAATCTATCCTGCCTTAACCTCGACATTACACCATTGTCGGCGTAGTGTAGAAAGTTGATATCAAGAAGCCAGGTGTCTTTAAATCAAACTCTGTCAAATTATCAGGCCAGTTTTGCTGAAACATCTGCACGCATTTAACGGCAAAATAATGCTGGTGGAAGCTAGTCATCTCAACAACGCGACGTACTGGATCTCATTTAAACTATTCACTGTAAAGTCTAACCGTCTAGTATGTTCGTGTGCGCTATGAATGTGAGCGCTTGACTGATGCGGTCTAGGTGATTGGGTAAAAGTACTAACGTCTGAATGGTCAGATGGATAAACGGATGAATTAGCAGACGTGATCACTTGACTAAATGGCAGGACTTTAAAAATTGGTGTAGTAAACTTTCATCAAACGAGCGAAAGTGAAGCTTATTGACTAGTTAATCGAACGTTAGGGTCTGTCGATAAGCAGGGATGTAAGGTATTGCTAACGAAGACGCTGCATTTAATGACCATAGAAGACACAACCTTCTGATTTGTTAACAGTATGTGACCCTAATGCGGAAAACGTCAGTGAGGCAAACAACATTTCAATCAACATCCCACCATACAGTGCTGATTCCCGAGTTTAGTTTCTGCAGGTCGGAACCCAATTTCGTAACCTAAGGTGTCAACTCATGCCTCAAAATTTGCATTTGTCTCCCCTCTATTATCAGTTGATGTCGCTACTGAGATATCTATCTGATTGAAGCAATATCCTCTGAAAACCCTGTGGTGAGCAGTAGGAAAGCAATTAGTCAGCACGAGCGAATGCTCTTCACATAACGATGTGCGTTCAGGGACCAATGTTTAGCAAGGCCATGTAAACGCACATGTTATCTCAAACAACATGCACCATACATGCCATAAAAAATTAGTCGAGCTACGCACCACCTGCAACTCTACTCTTTTTTCAGTCAGGTCGTGGCAGTGTAGATCGTCGACTCTGGTGTGCTTTTCTATCCTCAGTGAAGGCCGCTACTACCCCTATAAAAAAATTAAAGCTGCTATCCTCACGTGAACCACCAGCTCGAATGAGGCCCGTCTTCGACACCTCCTCTCTAGTCATCCGGCCAATCTGCTTCGTTATATGCGCCACCTGGCCGGGAACAACAGAGTTGACGTGTCCATTATGCGACTGCTATGGTCCAAATGCCCCCTGATGAATGCGAATGTAATACTTTCGTTCCAGAGCGTTGATGAATCACTATAGAAACTTGTTGAGATGGCTGATATAATTGACGAGTGTATCTCCTTAAGACTGGGATACGATGTTGTCATCCTTGGTATAAAAGCTAAGGCCTACAATTTTGGCATTAATAGGTTTGAAGAATGATGAATAGACAGACTATCGTCGAAAGTGGATGAAGTCACCAGAGACAACTTGAGCAATCCCTATAGACATCCGGAACGGCGTCGCTTTGGCCTGTATTGGTACAATGAACTCTGTAGAAATAAGGCAAAAGCCTGTATGTACCCATTTAGTCACACCCAGGCCTTCAAGCCATCCAACGTACCGTGGCGAAACGAAAAGGCCAACCGGTAAGGGCGGCGACTGTCTTTAGCACTTCATCAAGTCGTCTATCTTGCGTCCCGGATAGCGTGAGTGGCCCAACATTTAACTTGACACAGGTGATGAGGCTAGCGTGATTCCGCCAGGACCTGACGAATGCCTCCTCAAGACATCTGGTCTTTGACTTCGGTTCTTGAACAGCACACATCTTGCAACCTATTGCCGAAGGTAGCTCACTTTAAACCTGGACCTAATTTGACAATTTCCTATCACTACGGACGACGTCGTATTTACGACTAGCCACAAATTGCAACAAATCAACGTGGTCAGCAAATTAAATTAAACCACTTAACGTTGGCTTCAGAACCGCAATATCACGTTTCTGCACACCATCACAAATTTGTGAGTTCATGTTCGATCGATGTTTGAAATAATTCAATCCAGATTTTTAAAAACTGCCGAATTACCTTATCATGGAAACGGCATTCACCGAAAATCGGGGTGTTTCCTACTTGTTAGGATGTGATTTTGCAATTCGCCACTGAAAAAAAGATACTTCTGTAAGTTGGAGTTGCATGAAACACTGCCTGCATTCCACCTGCCACGTTTACACTTCATCAGACAGTGAAGCAAGTAGGACAACGAGAACTTAAACTTATATGTCTAAAATTAACTCATTGTGGATGCTCTGCTTATGTGACGCTCCGCACTCCTTCAATGATGTTTGCAGTAGATTTTCGCCATTGCACATATACCTCTTCAAGTGGCGACCTTCTTCTTCATTCCAGAGCAGGTGATAGCAGTGATTTGACACATTAATTTGAAATTGCTCTCTTTCTAGCGCTTATACGTGCACTACAATAGCTTGGCTTGGTAAAGCTCTTTTAACATATCCAGGAATACGTATTGAAGCGAATGCAAATATGACAATTGTGAAGGTTAATGACAAATAAGGGCCTTCGACTCAGGTAGTGCGAAATAAGACGAAGTAATCTCCGAGGTCAGAGGTTGTGTGAAGAGCGTCTTCATATTGCATTCAAACAAATCCCATTTTTTGTCCCTCTATTGGCTTGAATATTGTGTCTGCCGATGATAATAAACATATAAGCGTCCACGAACCTGGGCATCACATTCTGTTATAAATTACACTTTGGCAAATATTTGGTGCTTAAAGGCAAACCAACTCAATCGTGATACTTTAAGCTTGCTTAGACGGGCCTTTTATAGACGTCTATTATACCCTGTAGTTGCAGCGAACCTGGTTTGAAAAATCAAGCTAAATATTTTATAGTATTAATGCTTGGATTCACTGCTTACTTCAGAACGCAGTCCACTGCTTTCAGAAAAAAAACCTTGAAGTAAATTGGTTTTCGCTGCAGCACCCAATGTTCTCTGTAACAATGGCAGTGCCTAATCTAGCTTATTAACCAACTCAACCCAATTTGCGCATTTCTGTGGTTGCAATCCAATCCATATCTTTCACTAGCATATTTAATCGATAGAATGTCTTCAATGAATATGTCTCCTATTTTGTTGCTTCAGACCCACTATTAATTTACACATTTTTGACTTTAAACTTGTATGCATACCTGCATCTATGTAATTTATGTTTCATGATCCCAAAAGCCATTTACCCACGATCACAAAAAAATCTGCTAGATTTTTGCAAAAGATCTGATTGACGAATAGAAAACTGAAATATAGTAGGTGCATATTCTTTTGTCATTGGTTTTAAATATTCATAAAACCAATTAGTAACACCACTTGCAATATGATTTCAGCAACCTGATCTGCTCAAGTGTCGATTCGTCAACGCAACTGCCAGAGGAACTTGTGTTATTTAATTTAGAGAACTTCCGGACCTACAAGCGTAGATGTCTTCACTTACGCGTAAACTTGGCAGACGCATTTACGTTTTCTTGAGGATCGTGGAAGATAAAATGAGGACTTTTATTGGAATAAAACTGTTTTGTACTTTCTGCCTAAACACAGTTTTTTTTATATTTTGATGTTGGAAATTAGCAAAAATAGCCGATTCGCAGACACCGTAAATGAAATCCTTCTCCATTGGCAAAGGACCAACTTTTCAGCAAAAACAGAAATATTTGAACACAGAAAAACACCATCAGGGTCCTTAAATGTTTTACCTGATGGAGAGAAAACCGTTTTCTTTGTAGTGAGGCACGCAGTTGCTAAAAACTAATCTGTTTACGTGCCTAAAAAGACAAATTTGACATTGAGCACTAGTCCAGCGACATACATCGCGGTCTGCTGTTTGGATGCCTGTCAGAAACGAGCGTTTCAAATGTTCTTTGCACGTTTTCACAGTCGTTTTCACATTTTCTATAGAAAAAAATGTCGGACGTTATATGAAGCCGAAATATGCCTACCTCGATGCATTTAGCGAGACTCAGATCAATGGTTTCAGTGCGTAACTCACACGAATACAAATGCTGGCTTGGTACAGAAGCCATGATCCTGCCTTTCCAATTCACTTTCTCCGTTCCAAGAACTCTGAACGTATTGAGTGAAGGAAGGCACAGCTGATGTGACAAACACTGGTCAATTTCATTTGTCACATGATTTAAAACCCTCGCTAAGTTTGTGCTCGTGTCCTCTTCAACCGCATATCCCATGCCTAGTACAAATGAAAGTAACAGTAAACGAAATGCAAAATAGTGGTTGAAGTGAAGCATTTGCAAAGAAGCAGTGATATTTGCACAAACCTGCATTGACGACGACGCTACCGAAATAGCTGACCAGTAGGACGAGGATAAGACAAGAAGGAACCATCATTTCTGCAACGGTGTATGCGAAATCAAAGTGATTTCCCTGGGTTTATGAGTATTTATTCACTTTCTGCTGAATCGACCTAACGTCAGTTGTCCAATCCGATTTATTTTGCATTTGCCCTTTGCCGCTCTATCGCGCCTTGACTTCAGCATTACGCCATTGTGGGCGTAATTTAGAAATTTGATGTCTAGAAGACAGATGTGTTTAAACCAAAGTCTGTCAAACTATCAGGTCAGTTTTGCTCAAACATCTACATGCATTTAACGGCAAAATAATGCTGGTGAAATCTAGTTGTTACACCGAGGAGACTGGCAGGAGCTCATTTAAACTGTTCACTGCATAGCGCAACCAAGTGCTAAGTGACAACCAATATTTTCTTCATCAATCCACTTAATTATATATCCGGGTTCTTTGTTTCAAAGTCAGAATCAATGTAACTATTGTGCAGCATAAAGACTTCACTGGAATTCTCACATTTGCTGCTAATTGGTGACGAAACCGTCTTGCCAAAGTCGTGACTGGTGTAGATGATGGCGATTTGGCCTGCCGTATCGGTTTTAGCGCCTAAACGCAAGATAGGCCAGGCACTGTTAAACAGTCCAAAGGCTATTCTTCTGCCGAACAAATTGTCTACTTGCAAAATGTAGGAAAATCGACATTTTCGCTCATGTCACAGCAGCTTACATTTTCGCTTGAAGTTGTTGACCATTGACTTTTTACATGTATTTAAATAGTATATAGTGGAGAGAGAGCAGAATTCTGAACACTGCTGACAAATAACACATTCGTAGGTTGAAACGGCGTTAGAGTATGAGGCTAACATTACAATTTCGCACCTATCCTGAAGTTGGGTTTGTCGACGTGGACAAGCCACTGCCTTCTTACTTTTTATTGTCGCCTTACATACGCTAGAAAAATCTTAGGGGGTAAAAGTTGTCGCCACTAGCAGTACTCCTTACGTCAATATTCAGCCAACATCGGAGTTGTTTAGATCACTGTCGATACGTATCTGGATAGGTTTGTAAATAAAAGTAATTTATTGTTCGAGACACTAGGAATAAGACCGCAAAAGTTTATATTTAAATGCAAAAACAGTCTGGTTAATTGTACAATTGGAATGATGTAGGACTAAGCACAACCTTGCTCTGTACAGGTTCACGATGCCAATCTCTTACGGCAAATACTCTCTGACATTAACATGCGTTAAACCACAGTAAAAATTCACCAAGCACATATGCACATTCATTGATGGGTATGATAAAGTGATCAGGTCCTTTTGACAAGAGGGTCAGGATTACCGACATCAGCTCTCCACCGTGGCAGACAATCGCGTGACGCTGAGGTCAGCGTATTTTGGCAAACTAAATTACAAGCTTAAAGTAAAACGCAATCTGTAACCGCTGTTTGCATGGTTAATGGATAACGGCAACGAGAAGCACGTAATGCACATTCGAGTTGGTCGCATGGTTAATGTGTCCGAAATAAATTAAGCGACCAGTACGCAATCAGCCACATCGTCAGACCGCGCAGCTCTGACAGCCGGAATACTCGTCATCCCTGTCTAATTTAGGCAGACAACCATGGGCTGAGGAGGTCAGGGATCGTCTGAGCAACAGACAGAAGACGCAAGAGTTTACGCCTGTCAATCCTCGCGCATATAAATAAATATA